AAAAAAAAAAAAAAAAAAAATCAGAGAGCAAAGATGAATTTTCTTATTATTAATATATATCCTGTTCATCCTGTTCATTAGGGTTCTCATAGAGCCAGGCCCAGCCCAGCCACTTGGAAACTCATATCCTGATAATCCCCACAGTAGGTAAGTTGGTACCCTTGATCAATCTTGCCAGCTCCTCTCACTTTTTACTTCCACTCTTGCCACCTTGATTCTGAAGAATCCTGCAAAGTATCTGCCATTTGTACATAAGAGTACCTTAGGCCTTAACTCTGAGAATTCTGTAGTAAGAAGGCAGGCATATGGACCAGTAGTCTTTATCATTCAGATTCTTCATGACATTAGTCAGTCTCTAAATTAACAACAGAAGCCACACAACAGGTGCTGGTAGGACAACAAAAGAATGGCCAGCCAAGTGTCACACGCTCAGGCAGGGTCACCAGGCCCTTGTACAGAGGCCTGGTAGAAAGGGAATAGCTCCTGATTGCTATCACTACAGCTTCTGGAGGGTCTCCAGTGTGTTCTATACTTGTGGGATTTCCAAGTTAGGGACAAGAGAATAACAACTCTGGGGATTCTTCCATTTGGCTGCTAAATACATATGGCTGACCAGGGAGGGAGGTAATAAAGAAATTACACTCTCAGACATAAACACTCCGTCTGAGAGCTCCAGCTCTGGCCAACCCAGAAGCTTCCTACTGTAACAGCTCACCATTGGGGTTGTGCAGACACTGCTGTATGAGGTACAGAGGGGAAAAGGGTTTTTATAATTGCTAGGAATTTGGGGGTGACAAAACCAGAATAAGCCACCCCTGTTTCATGCCACCAGAGGTCGGGGTGGGGAGGGGGGAGGAGACCTCCCTTCCTAAGACATATTTTATGTTATTTATTTTTTTCTTTAAGACAGAGTCTCACTGTGTTACCTTGGGTGGAGTGCCAAGGCGTCATCATATCTCATAGCAACCTCAAACTCCTGGGCTAAAGCCATCCTCTTGCTTCAGTTTTTCTATTTTTAGTAAAGATAGGGGTCTTGCTCTTGCTCAGGCTGCTCTCTAACTCCTGAACTCAAGTAGATTACTCAGCCTCCCAGAGTAGTAGAATTATGGGTATAAGCCACTGCATGTGGCTAACAGGAGAGCTTTTAAACTCAGGACCCAGTAGTAGTTAGTATCAGTGGAGCAATTAAAGGCCATCTTGAGTTAAACAGGCTCTTCTAGGCGAGCTATTCAAGGCTTTTAGGTTGTCTTGAAACATACATTTACACGAATATAAGTTTATCTGGCTTTCTTGCTAGGAAGTCAAAGGAGAGATTAGAAAAACTGAAACCTGATTTTAGCCTCCAGGGAATGGGA